GATAGCTTTAAAAGAACTTGTCTAAAATAAAAGTTACTCACATTAACATCTAAGCTTTGTCAATATACTACCATTTTTAACTTAAAAGATAACTGTAATGAACAGCAGCAGTAATCAAAGAACAATCATTGATTAAAATATATAGTTCTTTATTTACCACCACCATTAAAGCCAAACAAATCTGAAAATACCTTATTTTATATAATCAATAACATTTGCCTTTCTAAACTGGATTCTCTTTGCAGTTATCCAGTCATATAAAAATCTAATTCCTGTTCACTTTGAATACCCAGCCATGTGCAGGTAAAATAAGTTCTCAGGAATATGCTTTTCACTGACTGACTAAGTAATTGAAATGAAAACTCACATTTTTTTTTTATTGAAAAAATGTCCAACTCCTTTTGGAAATCAGCCTGAATTTCTTGCTTTTATATTTCCACCACCATCTGTGCAGATAGGAAATTAAACAAAAAAAAAAAATGTACTGAATGCAAGTATATTTCTTGTCTGCTGGAATTTGCAGTGAGGTTGATCACTTTTGACTGCATGTCCTAAAATGGCTGATTATCGCTCAATTTAGAATACAGTGTAAAAGGTTTTCAAACTCTGCTTTCCAAAAGAAGCAGGCTGGGCATAAAACATGTGCTGCTCTCCAAAGTATCAAAAATGTAATATAAATGCCACTGGACTTTAATCATGTCATGATGGTCACCTTTTAACACCTATAAAATAAACAAAGGGAATATACACAAAGCACAATTTGAGCTTATGCTGAAAGGTAAAATACAGCTCTTTTAGCAGACCTTTTAAATAAAAAAGAAGCTCTGGCTATTAATGCTCAATTTATCTTTGGCACTAACTCCCACATCCCTTCTTGGTTGAATCATCCAGCCCACTTCCTGTGAGCCCAGGGTGTCAAAGATTCACCCTTCTGCCCTGAACTCAATGTAACAGACTGAAGATAGTTGGAAAAAAAAGGTATTTGAGAGAGAGAATGTACAAATAGCTGGAGATAGCTGAAGCCTGCTCTTAGATGATTGTGGCCATGGACGAAAGTTTTCAACTATTTTATTTTAATAATTGATACACGTATATATGTCACAATGTAAGATTTTAGTTATAAAAGCTTTAATAACTCATTGCAGTATTCTGTTATATATATATATACATATATACATACATATATGTTATATATATACAAGCTAGTGCTAGAATAGTTACATAGTTATATAATTTCATAGTTGGTAGGGTTGAATAAAAACACTGGTCCATCCAGTTCAACTTGTGTGTCTTTGTTTGTATGTTTGCTTGTATCACAAGCACTTTCAATATCCCCATTAAGAATCAACTTCCCACTGACACCATCAACTATGGGAGGGAGTTAATAATTTGACCTGCACCATGACAATAATGGTTCTGACAATACTTTTGCTAAATTAGTGCAATGATCACTAAATAAAATGACATATGTTATGAGCGGGTTAAGAGCATTTTTAGTCTAAACATGCCTGGAAAATGTCTAAACGTATCTAAACACGCCAAAGATAATAACTTTGCATGCAACCAATGACCCTTCACACAGATTTATTATTATTTATTCATTTCAGGTACTTATATAGAGCTGTCAATTTATGCAGCACTTTACATATACAGTCATGGCCGAAATTGTTGGCACCCTTGATATTTTTCCTGAAAATCAAGTATTTCACACAAAAAAGGTATTGCATTAACACATGTTTTGCTATACACATGTTTATTCCCTTTGTATGTATTGGAACAAATATAAAAGAGCAGCAGAAAAGCAAATATGACATAATGTCACACAAAACCCCCAAAAATGGGCTGGACAAAAGTATTGGCACCCTTAACTTAATATTTGGTTGCACACCCTTTGGAAAACATAACTGAAATCAGTCGCTTCCTATAACCATCAATAAGCTTCTGACACCTCTCACCCGGAATTTTGGACCACTCTTCCTTTGCAAACAGCTCCAGGTCTCTCTTATTGGAAGGGGAGAAACCCTTTTCCCAACAGCAATTTTAAGATCTCTCCACAGGTGTTCAATGGGATTTAGATCTGGGCTCATTGCTGGCCACTTCAGAACTCTCCAGCGCTTCTTTGCCATCCACTGAGTGCTTTTTGACGTATGTTTGGGGTCATTGTCCTGCTGGAAGACCCAGGATCTTGGACGCAAACCCAGCTTTCTGACACTGGGCCCTACAGTGCGACCCAAAATCCTTTGGTAATCCTCAGATTTCATGATGCCTTGCACACAGTCAAGGCACCCAGTGCCAGAGGCAGCAAAACAACCCCAAAACATCATTGAACCTCCACCATTTTTTACCGTAGGTACTGTTTTTTGTTCTTTGTAGGCCTCATTCCGTTTTCGGTAAACAGTAGAATGATGTGCTTTACCGAAAAGCTCTATCTTGTCTCATCTGTCCACAAGACGTTTTCCCAGAAGGCTTTTGGCTTACTCAAGTACATTTTGGCAAACTGTAGTCTTGCTTTTTTATGTCTCTGTGTCAGCAGTGGGGTCCTCCTGGGTCTCCTGCCATAGCGTTTCATTTCATTTAAATGTCGACGGATAGTTCGCGCTGACACTGATGCTCCCTGAGCCTGCAGGACAGCTTGAATGTCTTTGGAACATGTTTGGGGCTGCTTATCCACCATCCGGACTATTCTGCGTTGCAATCTTTCATCAATTTTCCTCACGTCCACGACCAGGGAGATTAGCTACAGTGCCATGGGTTGCAAACTTCTTGATAATGTTGCGCACTGTGGACAAAGGCAAATCTAGTTCTCTGGAGATGGACTTGTAACCTTGAGATTGTTGATATTTTGCCACAATTTTGGTTTCTCAGGTCCTCAGACAGTTCTCGTCTCCTCTTTCTGTTGTCCATGCTTAGTGTGGCACAGACAGACACACAATGCAAAGGTTAAGTGAACGTCTCTCCTTTTTATCTGCTTTCAGGTGTGATTTCTATATTGCCCACACCTGTTACTTGCCCCAGGTGAGTTTACAGGAGCATCACATGCTTGTAACATTCTTATTTATCCGCAGTTGTGAAAGGGTGCCAATACTTTTGTCCAGCCCATTTTTGGAGGTTTGTGTGACATTATGTCGAATTTGCTTTCTTTCCTCCCTTTTTTTTGTTTTGTCCCAATACACACAAAGGGAATAAACATGTGTATAGCAAAACATGTGTTAATGCAATACGTTTCGTGAGAAATACATGATTTCCTGGAGAAATATCAAGGGTGCCAACAATTTCGGCCATGACTGTATATTGTACATTCACATCAGTCCCTAACTCTCAAGGGTTGTACAATCTAAGGTCCCTAACTCACATTCATACATACACATATTAGGGCCAATTTAGACAGGATCCAATTCACCTATCAGCATGTCTTTTGGAGTGTGGGAGGAAAACGCAGTACCCAGAGGAAACCCACGCAGGCACAGGGAGAGCATGCAAACTCCAGGCAGGTTGTGCCGTGGTTGGGATTCAAACCAACGACCCTAGTGCTGCCAAGCGGAAGTGCTAACCATTTAGCCACTGTGCTGCCCCAGATCATGTGCACCTTTCCCATTTTTCCTAGTTTTAAATTGATTTGAGTGGCTGCCACTGTTGATTTATGTCTAAATCCATAATGTTACAATTTGCAAGCAAGTTAGTGAGGCTGGAATTTATAATATGTGTTGGTGGTTGGATAATTTTGGGCAGCCATAATTTTTCCATCCCAGTGCACCGAAGGTTGGAAGGCAAATGTAATAGTAAACTCTAGAAAAAAAAAACCTAGTGCTGTGAACCTTAGTACGTGCCATGTTTGCACACATAGTTTTGTTTTTAAGCCCAGAGTTGCTTTCATTTAAGAGCTGGATCCTAAAATTATCCCTCCCTGTTTCCTCTTTTGGGGTGGCTCTGTTCTTGGAGCCAACTTTGCGTGTGCACTGATGCTGCTCTCCCAGCTTGCACAACAGAGAAGTCTTGTTGATCTGCATGTGTCTTCAGATTATACAATCACATATTATACAGTGGAATTCAGGTACGGCTCTACAATGAACACTCACAGGAACACTCACATATTAACATTTAAAACACACACATACACACACATACAGTATATATATATATATATTGCATTATATTATACAAGCTATGTAGTTTACCAAATTTAAAATTTGCACACCTGAAAAAAAAAAACTAAACAATTTTTTTTAAAGCTGTGTGTACATGCCCCAGTGCTAATATAACACTTTCCCAATGGTAGCATCTCAAAATCCTCAAAATGCATATGAGTAATATCCTTTAAAATGTTGGACACCCTACAATGTCTTATGTGTGGTATTTTTCATAGTCTTTATTATCCTCTGTACTACACTAAAACTATAACGCGTTTTGGGTTTTTCCTGGCAGTACGACTATTTGAAGATTCCTTTGTATATCATGATCACTTCCTGCCAGTGTTAAGGATATCATTATCTTTATATCTTTATATGGGGGACATATACTATATATATATATATATATATATATTTATACCAGAGCTCAGGATTTAAATCATATGTGTTTTAATTTTTTGATAAGAATAAAAAATATTTTTGAATTTATTGATATTTAGTCCGTGTGTTTTTGAGCTGCATGTGGCTTTCTTAGTAACTAAAAGGGATCTAACCCTACTAGTGTACTTCCTTTAGAAAGCTGTAAAAACAGTTTGGCAAACCATTTCAATATATTTGATGTAAGTTTCACAGGACAATAATCATTCAAATTGTCATTTGACATCTTTAACCACTTGCCTACTAGGCCCTTTCACCTCCTTCCTGCCCAAGCCAATTTTCAGCTTTCAGTGGTGTCGCGCTTTGAATGAAAATTGCACGATCATGCAACACTGTAGCCATATGGAATTTTTACCATAAACCATTTTTTGAGAAAGATATAGCTTTCTTTTGGTGATATTTCATCACCACTGGGTTTTTTTATTTTTTGCTAAAACAAACAAAAAAGGTCAAAAATGCTGATGAAAAATGTTTTTCTTGTTTCTGTTATAAAATTTAGCAAATAAGTAATTTTTCTCCTTCACTGATGTGTGCTTATGAGACTGCATTGATGGGCAATGCTAAGCTGCACTGATGGGCAGTGCTAGGCTGCACTGATTAGGCATCACTGATGGGCACTCATGAGGCGGTGCTGATGAGGAAGCACTGATGAGGCTGCACTGATATGTGGCACTGATGGGCACTGATATGTGGCACTGATGGACACTGCTAAGCGGCACTGATAGGCACAGATAGGCAGCACTAATGGACACGGATAGGCGGCGCTGATCGGAACTGATAGGCATTGATAGGCAGCACTAATGATGAGGCACTGATAGGCAGCACTGATGGGCACTGATAGGCAGCACCTATGGACACTGATTGACACTTATGGGGCCTGCACTGAAATTCAGCATATGCCCCCCCCCCCCCGTGAACCATAGAACCATAGTTGCCATTCAGATGTGGTTTACAGCAAACACATCTTTCATTGGATGATTTGTACACATTATAAGGTACAGTATATGGGTTTTATATGGGTTTTACATACATACTTGCTCTGATATGCAATGCTATATATTTATTTAAAGAGAACTCAGATAGTTTTTTAGTTAGAGACCACACTTATGCAGGCCATAGACGGGTCGAAAACCGGCTGTTTTTTTTTTAAAAAAAGAAAAATCGGTAGTTCAATAGGCCGACGTTACCACCAATGGTAAAAAAAATCGGCCTGAATTTCGTCCCGTCTACGGCCGGAACTTAATTACTTCTGTCCCTTGCAGAGAGCTCCGCTATTATATTTGACATGAAAAAGTATTGCGGTTGCAACAATGTATCCATTTGTATCCATTTTGGATACAGATGTTTTTATTCGGATACAAATAGATACATTGTTGCAACCGCAATACTTTTTCATGTCAAATATAATAGCGGTCTGGAATTCTTCTTCTTTTAATTCTTCTTCTTCTTGCAGGTCACGGCTCATGCGCAGATTTTTTATCCGTAAAAACGATCAGCCAATTTGGCCATCATTGCCGGGAAAATCGGCCGATCGGCAAAATTGGCCAATTTCTTTCCAACTTTACCGATAAAAAATGTGCCAAAACCCCGAAAAATGACCGACCAATTAACCCACTAACGGTGCGAAAATCGGCTTATTTTTTTTTTCGGACGAAAAATCAGCCGATTTTTTCGACCCGTCTATGGCCTGCATTAGTAGATGTACCACACAACTTGGCAAAAGTAAATTTTCATCTGTTCTTTTTCAAATTAGCTGGGCGGAAAACTCTTGTCCAAACAGTGCCTACATGCAAGCAGTTACAGGTAGTGCTGGGGTATTCTATCATGGGGGGCCGTAGGTGCAGGCTGTCAATACAATAGTAAGCACTGCAGATCCATCCATCCTTGCTGTTTAGTGCGGATGAGGTAATCCAGTGATTTCTTTCATTCAGTCTGTTGGGCTAAAAACATGTATTCTAGTTTTAGTCAGTGCCTCAGAATGTAGTCAGAGAGTCAACATTGTTAAGTCAGCAATGTAAGCATCTTATTTTCCTAAGTATAGGCTTCATTTAATGGACATGCTCCCTGAAGCTTTAACCACTTCAATACAGGCACTTCTACCCCCTTCCTGCCCAGTCCAATTTTCAGCTTTGAATGACAATTACTACACATTTTTATAATTTTTTTTCACACAAATAGAGATTTATTTTGGTGGTATTTAATCACCACTGGGTTTTTTTTTTTTTTTTTTGAGATATAATTAAAAAAAACTAGATTTTTGAAAAGAAAACATGTTTTTCTTAGTTTCTATTATAAAATAATAATTTTTCTGCAAAAATTTAGGCCAAAATTTATACTGCTACATTTATTTGGTAAAAATAACCCAAATCAGTGCATATTATGTAGTCTGTGTGAAATGTTATAGAAGCTGTGATACCAATCATTAAAAATTGATCACACCTGATCACACCTGATATATTGACGGCCTATCTTATTTCTTCAGGTCCTAACATACCAGGAAAGTACAAATACCCCCCAAATAACCCCTTATTTTTGAAAGGTAGACAGTCCAAGGTATTTAATATGAGACATGGTGAGTTTTTCAAAGTTGTCATTTTTTTTCCCACAATTATTTGGAAAATGAAGACATTTTTATTTGTTTTTTTTTACACAAAATTTTCATATTCACAAGTTATTTCTCACACACAGCATATGCATACTTGCATTTGTACCCCCAAATACATTCTACTATTCCTCCTGAGTACCACATGTGTGAGACTTTTCCACAGCTTGACCACATACTGAGATCCAATATCCAAGTAGCACCTTCTGGCATTCTAGGGGCATAAATAACACATCTAATTTCCTGACTACCTATTACAGGTTTGAAGGCCCTGGAGCACCAGGACATTGAAATTTCCCACAAAATTAACCTATTTTGGAAAGCAAAACACCCCAACATATATTTTAGGAGGCATAATAAGTATTTTGAACATGTCCTTTTTGTTTCAAAAGTTTATAGAAAATGTAGAAAGAAAATAAAACACATTTTTTTCACACAAAGTTGTCAATGTATAAGATATTTCGAACACACAGGATGTACATACCAAGAATTACACCCCAAAATACATTCTGATACTCCTACTGAGTATGACGATACCACATGTGGGAGACTTTTCCACAGCTTGGCCACATAGAGGGGCCCAACACTTAAGTAGTACTATCAGATGTTCTTAGAGCATAAAAGGGGCATAAACTACAATCTAATTTCCTGACTACCTATCACATTTTTGAGGGCCTGAAGCTCCAGGATATTGGAAATAAACCGTCAAAATGAACCCATTTTGGAAAGCAAACACCCCAACGTTTATTCTAGGAGGCATAATAAGTATTTTGAACATATCATTTTTTTTTTCAAAAGTTTATGGAAAATGTGGAAAGAAAATTAAAACTTTTTTTCACATAAAGTTGTCAATTTATAAGATATTTCTAACACACAGGATGTACATACCAATAATTCCACCCCAAAATACAGTCTGCTACTCCTCCTGAGTATGATGATACCACATGTGTGAGAGTTTTGCACAGCTTGGCCACATAGAGGAGCCCAACATCCAAGTAGCACCATCAGGCATTCTAGGGGCATAAAAGGGGCATCAATTACACATCTAATTTCTTGACTATCTATCACATTTTTGAAGGCCCTGGAGCACCTGTGGTTTTAGTGCAGTTGTCCACAGAGGAGATCATTGGTCCAGGCAGCAGGCAGGAATATTGTCCTTAGTCAGCACAGGCAGTAGGCAGAGATATCGACAGTACAGCCAAAGAACTTGTCCAGGCAGCAGGCAGATATGTGGTGAGCAACAGCCAAAAAGCATTGTCCAGGCAGCAGCCAGAAAAATGACCAGCACAGCCAAAGTATTGGTACTGGCAGTAGGAAGGAACATGGTCCATAGTCAGTATAGGTAGCAAGCAGAGGTATAGTCAGTTAAGGCAGAGGCATGATCAATTAACAGGCCAGGGTTAGTTGGCAGCTGGCAGAAATATCAGGCTTAAGGCCCCAGTCAGGTAGGACCTGGTCACAGGGGTAGAAGCTTTTTTCCACCCAAATCTCTTTGAAGCCTCCAGTCTGCAGACCCTAATCTAAGAATTACATAACCTGGAGAAAAACAAAAACTTAGTTTTCTTCACTCAGTAAAACTTCTCTGCAGACCCTCACATATGTGAGAACCCTGTGTTATCTTGAATCCCACTACTACAGTAGCAAGGCAAAATATCAGTCCAAGCGGCAGGCAAAAAAATGTGGTCAATTAACAGGCCGAGGTCAGTTCAGGTGAAAGGCAGAATTGTAGCTGATAGTTCAGGTGGCAAGCAGAGGCATCATCAAAAAAACAGACCAGGGTCAGTTCCAGAGCAGGCAAAGAAATGGTCAGTTTAGGCTACAGGCAGAGGCATGGTCAAATAACAGGCCAGGGTCAGTTCAGGAGCAGCCAGTGTCATGATTGATGTGAAGGCAAATGGTCAAATGGGAAAAGGCAGGAATTCTCTAATATTGAAGACAAGTATGGTATTGGCAGAAACATTCCTCTATGCAGAGGCCTGGTTGGGAAGGACACTGGGGACAATAATAAATGGTGTCTCGTCTAACTCCAGCTCTGGAGCACACCCAACATTTTTATTGACATTTTTGGCCTGTTTCTCTGGGAGGGACTTTATCAGGTAAATGGCATTCATGGAGTCTGCTCACTGCATCTGAGCGAATGCTTTCTGGTGGGTCTTCTGGGTACACACGGGCAGTGATAATATCCTGGTATTTCAGAAAGATTTCAGGGTTATTTAGTGGATTTATGGTAAATCACATAAGAATTATAAACAAATTGATAAAAATAAACAGACTTTTTTGTACCAGTGGTGGGTTCTTCTTGTTGCAAAGTAGAGCTGGATCATCTGGCCATTAAGATCAACTCCCCCCGTGAACATATTGTACTCATGTACGCATTCGGGATTCTGGACATGGCCATTCCTTCTGTCGATTTGCACAAAGGTGTCATTGTGAATTGAAGAAAGAAAATATACTTCATGTTTGTCCCTTCACTTTATAGGCAGTACTTCCTCATTCACAAACACACCAACTCCCCTCTTTGTAGTTTTGTATTTAGCAGCCTCTGTGGGAAGCCCTTCCTACTAGTTCTCACAATGCCACAAGCTAGTGTTTGATTCTAGTAGAAGTTGTAGAAAAGGGACAAGCTGGTATAATAGTAACCAACCTACTTATGGTAACCTTTTTTGAAGAGGGGTAATACAAGTTCCCAAACGATTTTGCCATTGGTTCAAATATAATCTGGGCATTGAGGGGGATGCAACTGGATGTGCTTTCCTTCATACACACGGAATGCATAGACATACCCCGTGGCTCTGTCACACAACTTGTACACTTTCAACCCATATCAGGCCCTTTTGCTGGGGATGAACTGCTTAAAACTCAGTCTGCCAGTAAATTGGACAAGTGATTCATCCAAACAGATATTTTTTGTCTGGGATATATAATTAGCAGGAGTGGACTGAACATTTGGAAACTCGGGCACTGCCTGAGGGCCCATGGTTAGTGGGGGGCCCCATGAGATGCCCCTGGTACCTTTTTTTTATAGGCTTTTTTGAATTTGGGCAAGGACACAGGGGCCCCATGATCCCCTATTGTCCGGGGGCCCCATGAGTTGTCAGTCCGCCCCTGATAATTAGGCATATTTTTCTAAAAAAAATTAAGAAGAGGCTGAATTTTATACAGCTTATGATCTGCAGGGTCATTTTGTAGGGGGCACTGGGTGTTATCACTAAAGTGTAGGAAACCGCAGGATAATCAGATATTGTGCCCTTCGCATAACTGAAGAGTAAATGGGCATGTGGTGGGGGGGGGTGGGTTGACCAATAAGAGTGGACTTAATTTTTTTTGTCAGTCCCATATTTAACATGAGGGCCAAAAAGATCTTGAACTTCTCCACTGTTACCGGTTTCCATTCATAAGGCTGGGCAAAACTGGAAGTTGGGTTGTTGACTATAAATTTTGCGGCATATAGGTTACACTGGTCCAGAATCAAACATATTGATTTATCCATGAAAACTAAATAAAAAAATCAATAAGTGCAACATTTTCTGTGTTGGTCTGGACACCTGGCTGGATGGTAATAGGGGGGATATTAGCTGTTCCTGATTCAGGGGGAAGCCATAGCGGGTTTGCAAGGGCATCTGATAGACTAGTATAGGCCCTAATATTTTGTGGTCGACATGACACCCCACTAGTGCTTGGCCTTTCTTGCAGAGGTACTCCGTTTGTGGTGGACGCCACAGTGCTATAAGTGGATGCCATTGCGCTACTAGTGGATGTCACTGTACTACTGGTGGTAGCCTGCTCCTCACCAGAATGCCTTTGTTTGGTGGGCACACTTTCCTTCTCCCCTGATTCCATTACATTCCCACTACTTAGCACTGGCTCGGAATCAGAATCTGACACAGAGAGCTCCCTGCTGCTCTTGTCGGTCAGACTTAGAATTTGGTATGCCTCCTCACAGGTAAGTAATTTTTTAGTCATACTGTTGACTGTGGGCTGTGGTGACACACTGCTGTGATGGGGGCACTGAGACAGATGTGGTTGCACTGATGGGTGCTGATGCGGCTGCACTGATGGGTGCTGATGAGGCTGCATCTGATTGGTGCTGATCAGGCTGCACTTATGGGCACTTATGAGGCTGCACAGATGGGGCGGCACTGATGAGCCTGCACTGATGGGTGCTGATCAGGCTGCACTAATGGGCACTGATATGCACTGATAAGTTTGAACTAATGAGTATTAATGAGAATGCACTGATGTGCACTTATGCACTGTACTGAGGCTGCAAAGATGAGGCAGCATAGATGGGGCTACACTGGTTACCTACACTGATGTGATGGTTGGTGATGCGGCTGCACAGTTGGGTGCTAATATGGCAACACAGATGGGTGCTGATGCAGCTGCTTTGATGGGTGCGGATGCAGCTGCTCTGATGGATGCTGATGCAGCTGCACTGAAGGGTGCTAATGAAGCTGCACTGAACGGTGCTGATGAGGCTGCACTGATGGGTGCTGCTGAGGCTGCACTGATGGGCTTTAATCAGACTGCACTTATGGGCACTGATATGCACTGATGAGGCTGGACATTTGGGGCTGCACAGATGGGACAGCACTGCTCAGCTATGCTTATGTGCACAGATGGGCACTGATGAGGCTCCAGTGAAGAGGCAGTACTGATGAGTGGCATTAATGGGCACTGATGAGGCAGAGACTGCATTGATGTGCACTGATTATGTGGCACTGATGAGCGTTGAAAAAGCTCAACTGATGAGGCAGCACTGATAGATAACACTGATAAGCACTACTGATGAGGCAGCAATCATGGGTACTGTTTAACACTGTTTGGGCACTGTGTAACACTGTTTGGGCACTGTGTGACATTGTAATGCAGGCAGTAACTCACTGTGAATGGCATTGATGTTTCGTTCCCTTACACTCATCTATGTGTGAGGGAAGGAGAGCTGTCAACCCCCTGATGACCCGCATTGGTTACATTAGTGATCACGTGTCATTGGACGTGGCGATCACGTGGTAAAGGGTAGCTGTGATTGGCCCTTTACCTCAATCTGTGATGTGCTGTCCGAAGGACACAGCAATCACAGACACTTCCAAATGTGTGCCCCAGCGAGTGTGCAGGGAGCACATTCTCGGGAGGATGCCCATGGACGCCCTCCTAGAACTGGAAGACCGCTCTGTAGCCATCTTTCGGCTACAGCATGGTCAAGAACCTATTAAATAAGGATTTAGTTTGCTACAATAGACTTTAGTAATTTTGATCAGTGGTATGGTTTACAACTGAAAAATCTTGTTTTAACCACTTGCCTACCAGGCACTTATACCTCCTTCTTTACCAGGCCAATTTTCAGCTTTCAGCACTGTCGCATTTTGATTGACAATTGCGCAGCCATGCAAGATTGTACCCATATGAAATTTTTATAATTTTTTTCTCACAAATAGAGCTTTCTTTTGGTGGTATTTAATCGCTGCTGGGTACTTTACTATTTGAGCTATAAACAAAAAAATGTGCAAAAAATGTTAAAAAAAAAATGTCATGTGCATTGATGAGGCAGCACTGATGGGCACTGATAGGCGGCACTGACAGGCAGCACTGATGGGCACTGATAGGCAGCACTAAAGGGCACTGATAGGCAGCAGCACTAATGAGGTGGTGGTACGGATATGCGGCACTGCTAGGCAGCACTAATGAGGTGGCACCGATAGGCGGCACTGATAGGTGGCACTGATAGAGGGCACTGATAATGGGTACTGATAGACAGCACTGATAGGTGGCACTGGCTGGCATCACTGCTGGACACTGACTGGCACAACCGCTGGGCACTGACTGGTGGCACTGACTGGCAGCACTGCATTGATGGTGGGTGGCACTGGTGGGCACAGATGAGTGGTACTGCTGGGCACAAGTATGTGGCACTGCTGGGTGGCACTGCTGGGCACAGGTGGGTGGCACTGCTGGGCACAGGTGGGCGGAACTGGTGGGTGGCACTGCTGGGCACCGATCATCAGGGCACTGATCATCAGTGCCCTGATGATCGGTGCCGATCCCTGCTCTGACAACTGCTGGTTCTCGGCAGTACTTTCCTCGCGCTCTGACAGCATGAGGAAAGTACAGCCGAGAACCGGCAATTGCATTTCCCAGTAATCAGCGTGTCATTGGATACGGCTGATCACGTGGTAAAAGGCCGCTGTGATTGGCCTTCTACCACATCACGTGATCAGCTGTGTCTGTAGGACACAGCGACCATGGAGATCTCCGGGTGTGCGTCCCCGGGGGCGCGCAGGAGAGCACATTCTGGGAGGACGTCATATGACGCCCTCCCAGAACTGGCCGGCCGCAGTGTAGCCGTCATTCAGCTATCTGCAGTTGCCAAGTAGTTAAGCTATAGTAGAGTTGAACCTGATGCACTGCATACTAGCATTCAAAAACCAAGATAAAATGGAGCCTCTGTGCATAAGCACCTTTTAGTCTATTTTTTATTATACACAGTTGTAATGCTTATGCTGAAATTAGGAATACTATTTTAACTTGCATTTATTCACTTAAAATTATTTTATAAGGAATTGAAATATACAAAAACTCTTTCCAAATTGGAGGCATCTTTTACCTTGAAGGAATGTTTCAACAATTTGAAACTGCTTCAGTATCACTAGGAAATAATTAGGAGCAAAAGCCACATTCTTGTATCTGTACAGCCACTTTTAATGCCAGCTTTTAAAGCTTGATAGAATAATGGCTTTCACTTTGATTAGCTCTAGTACTTGTGTTTTGTATTTTGTCTTTGATAGATTTCTTAGTGCCAACATCATCCATTTTCAGTTGAAAAGGAAAAGTGCAATTACCACACTGAAGTGTAGCAAACAGAAATAAACCCACTGATGTTTTTGAGTACGGTGCTTCACTTCTAATGGACAATGCATGAGAGGTTGAATTGTATTTACATGCAGGTCAGATATAGATTTTCTGTCTAGGGTCAAAAAATATTAAAATCCACATTATTCTAGAAATATTACTATAATGAGCGTTTTACTTTTACTGTTTATAGACTATAGATATCATAATATAGAAAGCATTTGTTTTACTTTTTTGACAATTGTTAAATGTTATCAACCTGCAGGAATGTAATAATTAAATAATTAAATTAATACAGAGGTATGAGTATGTCTAAATCCAAAATCCTAGCAATTCATACATCTGTTCCCTGGACTATAAACACTAATAGTAAATAATACATGCGTGCTGGAAAATTTTGTCTCCTTTCATTTTCAGATCCATTCATTAATTGAAGATTTCTTTTTCAGATGCATATGTTAATGGATCTGTTTGTTTTTTGAATTTATTTTGTATCTTCAACATTAGTTTTGCTTCATTTGGATAGCGCTGGTTTTTAAGGAGTGTGTGGTCATTGCGTCCTTAAAAACCACACTCATCTGCTGTCAGTGGGAGTCAGAAGAAAAAAAAAAGTACCAGTTTAAAAAAAAAAAGACATGAGGGTTCAAACAATCCATACCAGGCTCTTTGGGACAGATATGGATTGTAAGGGGAACCCCACACCAAAATAAAAAAAAATAGCTTGGGGCCCTCCAAAATCCTTACCAGACCCTTATCCGAGCATGCAGCCTGGCAGGCCAGGAAAAAGGGGGACAAGCAAGCTCCTCCGCTCCTGAACCATACCAGGCCATATGCCCTCAACATGGGGAGGTGCTTTGGGGGAGAGGAGGTCCCCCCTAAAGCACCTTGTCCTGATGTTGAAAGGAAAAAGAGCCCCTTCCCCACAACCCTGGGTGGTGGTTGTTGGGGTCTGTGGGCAGGGAGATTAGCAGAATCTGGCTACTGCCTGTCCCCAGACCCCCCCCCCCCATTTGAATGAGTAGGGATACATAGTACCCCTACTCATTCACCAAAAGAAGTGTCTAAAGTAAAAAAAAAACACAAACACAGTTTTTGAAAAGTCCTTTATCAAAAACACCCATAAAATAAGTGTCCCCTGAAGTAGATTCAACAGCAATCATGATAAACACTGACCCACATAAAAAAAAAACAGCTGCCCGCTGAACACAACATGTCCCATCCAGATAGTAGCTGTAGCCATGTCTCTAGGAGCTGTGTATCTGGAAACCATGACTTGTGGTCTCGGACACAGCACATTTTTTTGAGTAAAATATGAAAGATGATGTTATGCAGAATAAATTGATACCAAACATGTTGCACCCCTGGAACAGTAACAAACTATAGTACATTAAATTGACACTTTAAAGTGAAGCTTTAAGCTTTTAAAAGCTACCAGTTTAGCATTACACAGGAGGCCTGGCCCTAAAATTATTGTGCTCTCTATCTGATGTTCATGTTGACATGTGTGGTGTAATCACCATTTACATATGAATGAGGGAGCAACACCTGCATTGGCCTTTGTGCTTGACCACTACGGGATGGGGGAGCTTTAATTTTTTGTTTTTGTATTTTTATTTTTTTTTTTATACACTGTACCTTTTATTTCTTTTTATCACTTTTATTGCTATCACAAAGGGATGAACAACAAATGCATGAACTGATTTGCACCACACATTCAAAGCTATTTTTGGATGGGCCACATTTTCTGAGGGTGAGAGTAAGCACATTGCATTGGGATTAAAACAAAATCTTTCTTGTTTTGAGATTGTAGATGGGAAAAAGAATGGAGGTTTGCACCACATATATCAAGCCTGCAAGAGCAGGCTTCAATTTCTGAGTGACTGATAGTGTACAAATTGCATTTGGAAAAATTAAGTAGGTTTTTTTTAGTACAATGTAAAATATAATCATCAAACAGATTTGCACACAACTTCTCAAGCCTTTTTTAGAATAGGCTGAAATTTATGAGGGAGAGGGTAGGCAGATTTCATCCATAAGCAAAGCATCAACTTCCTTTTTCACGGATTAAATTAAGAAAACCCTTTACAGATTTGCAGCTAAATTTGTAATCCTTTTTGTCCAGGACAGTTTTTTGTCATGGTGAGGTAAATAGATTGCAGCTAGGAACTTTACATTTTTTTCCTATTTTTCAAAGAATGATCAATGTGGTACATGTTAACATATTAGTACCACAGCTTTTAAGCCTGTTCGGACAGACTGCTACAGTATATGCCAGACATGAAACAAGCAGATCTAATTTTCCAAAAAAAAAAAGAGTTGCTTCTTCCCATAGAGAAGAAGAGCAAATATAAAACAATATAAAGAATTACAGCACAGCTTTTACACCATTTTGGACAGGCTGATAATGTTGAGATAGACGACAGGCAGATTGTACCCCCCCCCCCAGAAAAAAAAAGTGTATTATATTTGTATTTGAAATTTAAAACATAAAAAATGTAATAGGGTCAATTAGATTTAAAGTACACCTTTTAAACCTTTTGGATAAAAACTGATTTTTCTGTGGAAGACAGCAATCAAATTTGAGAAATTTAGACAGAATAATTTCATATAATATAAAAATATTGTACAGATTTGCGGCAGAAAATGTCATCTTTATCATTGGGAGAATCCTTTTAAGGCAGATCATAGGACAAGCAGGATAGACTTGCCGGATGCAGTCTACTGTATTTCAAACATAACCACACCAAAACAGTTAACTATCCTGCAACTTCATATTCTGTTTCACTATTACTGTATATTGACATGCCATAATTTGTTGTCATAGTGATTCTAGAATGAAAATGAATCTTGGCTAATAATGAATGCACATGTGCGAGAATTCACCCATTACTGAGAGAAAGGATAGAAGTATACTACGCTATAGATGTGGAAGCAACAAAAAACATGGCGTCGTCTTCAGACAGGAAGCAGGGAAAAAGAAAAAACTGCAAAAATATAAGAAAGTACAAAGAGAGATACATAATAAGGGGGAATGATGTAAAAAGCATTTTGTAATGGCTATAATGTTTTTCACATTTTGGTTGCTGGAACTTACTACTGCTTCAACTCAAAGTTTTCATATATGTATAACACCCTTCTGCAGAACTGGAACAAAGATTTGACAGAATCTGTAAATGTGTGATTAATGAATCTTGGATGAAATCACAGTTCAAACTTTTGCAAATTTTTACCCTCCAATTCTGTCACCCAGGACCAGGGGCGGACTGACCATTTGGAAACTCGGGCACTGCTCGAGGGCCCGGGGTCAGTAAGGGGCCCCATGAGATGCCCCTGGTACCTTTTTTATAGGCTTTTTTGAGTTTGGGCAAGGACACAGGGGCCCCATGATCCCCTATTGCCCGGGGGCCCCATGAGTTGTCAGTCCGCCCCTGCCCAGGACTCAACCTGCCCTCACTGTGGGCATCTCAGGCCTACACTCTTACGTCAGTTCTGAAACTGTACAATAATCTTCACTTTCTGAGATCAGGTGTTGACTTTTATTTGTAGAATCACAGTAAAACAGCTACTCAAAACTCCCCTCCTACTCCTTTTTTAGCTATGATAAAGCTGTTTCTTTTAATTCGGATAGTCACACAGTTGTCATACCCCCATGGATCCAAATGTGCTTACTTGCAGCCCACAGAGAAGCCATGAAGATCTGGACAGTTTTTTCAGTCCCAGCAATTGGGATGGTCAAAAAGGATCTCACTGACTTACTGTATAAAGAAAAACAGGACGATGAGATTCAAAACTACTCTACCACCGAGATGTTCTTTAGGAGATGGATATCTTTCATTGAACAAACCCTTTCACCTCCAGAAATAGCAACATTGATATCATCCTTCTGCTATACAGACAGGTATTTAAAGGCTGATCTGGTTAACTCTCTGGGCAAATTGACAATTCATTAAGTGTCATTTATACACTCAAAATGATGCCAGTGCAGGGGC